TCTCTCTCTCACACTCATAACAATAAATGGAGCAAAACTCTCTCTCTCTCTCTCTCTCTCTCTCTCTCTCTCTTGTCTTAGCTCTTAGTCTCATTGATTTCGCTACCTTAGGGCTGCGTTCCCCGCGCCCACGCGGTAGACAATTAGTCGGACCCCCACCGGCGGCCCTACTCCATCTCTGACTACCGCTATTGGGGCAGGGGGCAACATGAATACCTCTAAGGGTTGGACCCCATAGGAATGCGGCAAGGAAAAATTGGTCCGCGAAAGTGTTTTCTGGACCCGAGAGCATCGAAGGACGTTCTGGCAAAACTGAAATGTCTTCCAAGGAGTGTTTCTGGGACCCCACGACCCGCATTTTATGGCGTGGAAGAACACGTATGGCCATTTTTTCACATCACGCACGGCGTGAAAAAGTCATTCAGGAGGAGTTTCCGCCACGATTTTGTGCCGAAAGTTGAGAGTGTGGGAGGGCGTGGGCATGATACTTTCCAAGGTTGAGGCCGCCGGTTGGACCAGCGAGTGTCCGGGCCCTTGTCGTACCCCAGTCCAGGACCACTCAGCAGGTAGGAAAAGCTGTAGCCGGGCCCAGGGGCGTTGGTCCCTCGGAGAGAGGATGGAAATGGGCAGGTGGAGACCTGCCATTTCAGTTTTGAATTTGAATTGCATGAAGGGTGTGTGTGTATCATTGTCATCACCAGTTGACTGATGCATGGCACTTCCAGCTACGTGGATGTTTACGACGGCCATATGATGTTGCACCCGCCACGTGCCATTTGTCGGTTGCTCGTGGAGCTGTAGAGGGGCAGTGTGCGTGTGTGTTTCCCATGCACATTGTCCACCACCTTCGCTGCCGCATTGTGCCATGAACATCGGTCAACCGACGTGCACATGGTCTTGTGGGTGACTTCATGCGTGTAAGGAACGTCTCCAATGCCCAGCAGGTGTGGGCCCATGGCCGTAGGGTGGGAGGACCGCTTCGCAATTCCATCTCCTCCTTCAGTTGAACGTTGTCCCTACAGGTGCCATCCCTTGGAGCGGTGGAGGTTGGGAGTGTTGTTTGTGTTGTGTGTTCCACCTTCAATGGCGTTGTCGAGTGAAGCTTCCCGCTCACAGCTCCGACATATCAGTTGCAGTTTCGGGTTGTGGCCGTCGAGTGTGGATCCGTCAGGAAGGGTTACGAGAGCGGCATGTGGCTGACCCAGTGACGGTACGCTATGTGACACCCACGGCCTAGGCTGCGGGCATTTCGGCCGCTGCGGCTGAGAAAGTCGGCCGCGGCCGCGGCCGACGAGGCCCGGTTCGCGGCCTGGTTTTTCAATATTTTTTTACCCCCCAAAAAATACTCCAAAATATATATATATATATGGGGCTCTAGCGCTTGAAAAACCCTACAATCCTATTATTTTTATTTTCCAATCCAACTTCGTTTAAGATTTTTAAAAAATAAAAAACAAAATTCGATATAAACAAAATATAAAAAATAAAATAAAAAGAAAAGCACGATTTTTTTTATTTTTTTTTTATCATGAGGGATATGGTCCCTGAGTTGTGCTGTATTTTTTTCAAAAATGAATTTTGATTTTTTGTAAAAAAATTAGGTGTTTAAAAAAAATAAGGATGCAAAAATCAAAAAACAAAAACAAAAAAGGGGCCAGGCTGGGGTTGTTGTGGTGTGGGTGGTGGGGGACCACCACAGCCAGGGAGAATGAGCAACAAAATTTGTGTTGCCATAGATTATAAATTGTGTGCTTACTCCTGTAGGGCAACACAAAATGTGTTGCTCATGTTGATGCCAACAAGCATAAAAAGAGAGAGAGAGAGAGAGAGAGAGAGAGAGAGAGAGAGAGAGAGA